CAGCTCCCAAGGGTTACCCTGGGATCACTCAGCTCCCAAGGGTTAACTCGGCTGCTCCGCCAGGGCAGCTGTGAAAACAGCTCCTGCTCCAAGTCAAACAGGGCCGGAGCAGCCGAGGATCCAGAGCCACAACAATGGCCGGGCCGAGGCTGGCAGGGAATCAAACGCCCAGAAATTCCTTCCGACAGCCCCGAGCAGCTCGTTATCAATAACACAAGTGATTAACCTGGGCTCGCTCCAGCCTCCCTCCTGGCAAGGGGCCTCTTCCCAAGGCAGCCAGCAGTCACTCCCCCTCAGAGAGCCCCCTCTGTGCCCCTCAAATCCATCCCTGCCATCCCAAAGCTTCACCTTCCTGATTCCACAGCTCAGCCCTGAGGATGGGTCCTACAGCAGCTCGGCTTTCGAAGCCCATCCAACCCAGAGAGGAGCTCTGGGTTCTACTTGCTCTCAAGTACTGCAAGGAAAATCCCCAAGTATCAGAGTTTGGGAGAAAATGCCCAACAGACACTCAGCCCTTGCTGGGAGGAGCTGGGTGATGGCCAGGTCACACTGCTGTGACTACAAAACCAACCCAACAAGCACAACTGACATTCCCAGGATGACCAGAAGCAAGAAGACACCAGGAAAACCCTGCTCTCCCCCAGTCTTGAGCCACCCCCATGGAGGGAACAACCCCACAGACCCCAGAACTCGGGGTCCTGCTCTGAGGGGTCCCCATACAGCCCCTGTTGCTGCTTTTGGCTGCTGAGCCACAGGGATATTTCTGGCCATCCTCTTCTCCGAAAGCACCCCAGTGATTGGGTTACACCTCATGCTTTAATTAGCAATTCCAGAGGGCAGGAGAACGTGCTGGCACACCGTGCCAAGGCAGGAGCACCAGGAGGTGACCAGGGGTTGGACTCAGGTACCCCAGCTACAGCAACACCAGTCACCAGGATTATCACGGACCCCAACGTGAGGATGCACAGATCAGGAGGCAGCTGGGGCTCATGGAATCCTGGAATGGTTTGGGTGGGAAGGGAGCTTAAACATTATCCAGTCCCACCCCCTGCCATGGGCAGGGACACCTTCCACTGTCCCAGGTTGCTCCAAGCCTCGTCCAACCTGGCCTTGGACACTTCCAGGGATCCAGGGGCAGCCACAGCTTCTCTGGGCAACCTGTGCCAGGGCCTTGCTACCCTCACAGGCAAGAATTCCTTCCCAAAATCCCATCTAACCCTGCCCTCTGGCAGTGGGAAGCCATTCCCTGTGTCCTGTCACTTCACTGTCGTGACAGCACGAGATCCCTGCCCCGAGGAACAGGCTCTGGCCAGCACAAGTGTTTAACCACCCCACACTCACACATCACCCCAGGACCACTCTGCACCCCAAAAATGGGGCTGGAAGCTAAAACTGCCCAAATCCAGCCCAGCCCCAGCCCCGTGTCCGAAGGAGCCAGGCTGGCACCGCGTGTGCCACCAGCCAGCCCAGCGCTCCCACCACGCGCTGCCCAGCCAGAGCAAAAGCTCTTTGAAGGCTTTTTGGCACTGAGGCATCGATTAGATTATATATAGACTGCAGCTCCATTAAATATTTATTCCTTCAGCTGAAGCCCATTGGATTCTGGATGCGACAAGCCCGGCTGCTGCTCCTGTGAGTTCCAGAACAAATCCCATCCTTATTTGAGGTGAAAACAGCGGTGCCAGCACGAGGCTCCCTGGGCTGCAGAGGTGGGGTCGGTGTGACAGGAAAAATACAGCACCCAAACAGGCTGGTGGCAGAGAGGAGGAAGGGAAGGTGCTGGGTTTTCCCCGGGAATCACACAGTCCAGACTCACAACAACCCATCTCCTCCACATTTAAATCCAGTTCTGCCCAAACTTCAAACAAAGATTTTCCGCAAAGGGAGAGACTTCCCACGTGGGACTCAGTGAGCAGAAAGATATTAGATGTCCAAAATATTATGTTTACAACCGTGAGGTTTTCCTGTGAACATGAGATTCAACAGTCTTTAAATATTTGTTCACTTTAACTTTTCCCATTCCCCAGAATATTAAACTCTGGTTGTCCCCATTAAAAGTTTAATCGGGAGCGAAAGGGGATCCTCCGGCACGTCGGGAACAGGGAAGGGCTTCATGCCCGACACCTTCCCCATAACAGGGCTCATTCATCACCTTCCCAGAGTGACGGAGCCCCCCGAACCCCCCCGAGCTGCTCCTGCCAAGAAAAACCTCCATTCCCCACGGCAGGTTGCCATGGCAATCCCAGGCTCTGCATCCCCTTCCGATGCCCTGCATCTTCCCTGGACCACAGCTGCGAATGAGTGGGGATAAAACACCCAGGAGAGGTACCCACCCACCCAAACCCCCACAGGAGGTGCTCAGTGGGTGCTGGGTGCCTCTCCTGGGGTCCATGGGAGCACCTTCAGGGACACTCACCCGGGCACAGAGATGCTGATGGGCGTTAAAAAGGGCAAGAGAACCTGAAATCCTCAACTAACCCCCCATCACCCCCTGCCCCTGCCAAGAATCTGACCTCCTGCCTGAGCAGAAACACTTCTGGGCTGGCGTTTCACCAGCACGGAGGGGGAAACCAGAGAAAACATTTGCACTGGTGATAAATCAAGAGAGGGACCGTTGGGTCCTGTCACCCCACCCACTCTTAAAATGGCCAGAGCCACCACCAGCACCCACAGCTCTCGAGGGCACAGGGAGCTGCTCCTGGCAGCCTGTCAGGAGGCAGGATGGGGCTCTGGGAGCAGGAACAGGCTGGCATGGTGTTAAATAGCTCAGGGCTGGCTCTGCCCAGCAGCTCCGGCCCCACAGCCGCTCGTCTTTACACCTGGATGTGGCAGAGGGAAGTTTAAAAATAACCCTGCGGCCCGTCAGTCACAGCAGAGGCAGAGCAGGGCTGAAAGGAGCTGCCTTAGAAATGACCCAGAGCACAGGAGTGCAGAATTCCAAGCTGGAACCTGGGGGGTCCTGTGTGATACCCCACGGATACCCCACTGGGTGGTGGAGCCAAAATACATCAGCCTTGGACACAGCTGAGGAGGAAAACAGGAGCTGCAGGGATGCCCCAGCCCTGGGGATGCACCCCCAGGCTGGTCCCAGCATTCCCCCACGGCACAGGATGGGATCCAAACCCCTCCTGGGCTCCCAGTCCTTGGGAGGATGGAGGTGCCTCATAAAATAGCCCCACAACCACCACTCTGAGGGAAGCACCCCAAAAGACCCTGCACAAAGCACTCCAAGACATCCTGCACAAAACACCCTAAACTTCTGTAGGGAAGGGAATCACAGCAGTGCACACCAGGCCATGGCAGACAGAGCCTCAGAACAGATTTTGGGCCACAGCAGCTCCAGTTCCACCTGCCCTTGCTTATGGATTTATATGTCAAGATGAAGAGAAGGGATGAACACACAGCACTGCCCTTCCTCCTCCTGGAAAACACCCCAAAACATACACATCTATATCACAGTCTATCCTGAGCTGGAAGGGACACATAAGAACACCCAGTCCAGCTCCTGGCCCTGCACAGACACCCCAACAATCCCCCCCTGTCCCTCTGAGCATTGTCCAAACGCTCCTGGAGCTCTGGCAGCCTTGGGGCCGTGCCCACTGCCCTGGGGAAGTGCAAATGTATAAACACACACATGTATAAATATACACACCCCCCAAATGCCTAAAACCCTGGAGCAGTGGGGTTGGTGGGGCTGCCAAAGGTGATGGTCTGTGGGACACAGACCATCACACAACACTGCCACCCACGAGCCCCCAGCTTCTCCTGGGCTTCCAAACCACAGATCCCTCCACGCACACCCCCAGTATTGTTTCCAAGACGGGTCTGGACCCCCCAGCCCTCCTTCAGGCACTCCAGGACACCCCCTCCCGTGCTGCACAGCCCCCCCCCCAAACCTCCTCCCTGGCAGAGGGCGGAGGGAGAAGCGAGGAGTAAATCACACCAGCCGTGAAGCACCAGCAGCATTTGTTGAAACCAGGATATTGTCTCTTTAAGCACATGAAAATAAGGCCCTTGAGCAGTGTGGTTCTCACTCCGGCGCACAATTATGGGTACTTTCAGCTGTCTACCACTATTTCAAGTGCTCTCTCCAACCGGGCTGTCAATGGCATGTTGAAAGCTATTTGTGGCTGCTATCGTTATTAGCAAAGTGGAGAGCCAGGCTGATGAGAATTAAATCAGGGAGGGGGGGGTGGAGGGGCAGGACACAACCCCTCATTACGGAATTACCACCGGCAACCGGGATGTGGGGGGCACAGCCCACTCAGACCCCCAAAAAGGCACCCAGCACCCTCAAAATCCACCTGCAGAGCCGAGGGGGAGGGAGAGGTGAAGCTCTGACAATATTCCCTTCTACCTTAGGAGACCTGAGAGCACAGCTAACAAATTACTTGGCTTCTGAAGTATTTAGCAAATTATTACCTGGCACTCCTTGCTAACGAGCATGACAGAAAGTATATTGTGTTCCTAGAATATTCTAGAGGAAAAAAAAAAAAAAAAAACCTGCCTCTCTTCCCTGGAAGTGTCAGGGGGGTTTAGGTTTGTTCCAAGCATTAAGTGTTTAAGCACGAAAACAAGAAGTGCTTATGTGGAGGGTTCTCAGCCATAAAAAGAAATAAAACCCAGCACAAAGGTTCTGTCCTCCGAGGTGTCCCGTTTCCCCACGCAAAATTAGTTTTTCTTTTGGAATGGTTATTGCAGTCGGCGATTATCCACGGAGATCTGCACAGAAACAATGCGAAGCCAACAGGGGAAGCAAAGTTTCTTTTGGAAAAATCAATTAGCCCTAAGAAGGGGGAAAAAAAAAAAAAAAAAAAGAGTTTTGCCGGGGTTTCAAAAGAAAGCTCATGGTTGGACTCGGGTTTAAGAAAGCTGAGCCCGGGTAAGGGAGCTTAGTTCAGCAGGAAGACTGATGTAAGGAGCGATTCACTGCAACCAAGTCACTTCCTAAATATTTCCTTGCATATGGAGTTGTTTATGAAAGTACATTTTTTTGCTTAACAAGAAACAAAACGAGAAGAAAGGGGGGAAGGAAAAAAAAAAACAAAACAAAACAACAGAACAACCCCACACGCAGCCACATATGCACACACTTAATATTCAGCGTAGAAGAGATAATCTGTTATATAAGCCCACAGACAGACAATCCCCTTTTGCTTAAAGATGAAGTATCCATCAATGTTTGTCTGGAGCAGATGTAATCACAAGCAGTCAAGTCTGGAGGGCAGGACACTGCATGAATAATTCAAGCACTTCAGTCTACTTGATTGTGTGCAGATAAACACAAGTCAACCGCTAAACAGGTCAGCTGATAAACTTGTTTGTTCAGGACCAGCCACCCTCAACCAGATGCAGGCAGGACCACGCCGCAATTAGCGGGATGCCTTGCGGGGGGATGCTGCGGCAGGGATGCCTTTCAGGGGGATGCTGCGGCCCGAAAGAGGGGGAAAACCCTCGGCGGGCCCCCGCTGCGGTCCGGCTCTCCCATCCCGCCGCTCCCTCTCGCCCCATTTTCGCCTGGAAGCGCCGCTGGGAGCAGCTCGCGGGGCTTTTGTTTTCCTCCGGCCCCGCGCGCTTTGCTGTCAATTAAATAACGAGGCGGCTTCGCCTCCCAAAGTTGGCGGAGCCCGGCGCTCGGCACGCAGCACATGGCACCGGGAGCGGGCAGGGATGCTCGGCACAGGCTGGAACCGTCCCGACGGGATTTATCCGCTCGCCCGCAAAGCTCCCAGAGAAACACGCTGACCACGCTGGGCCTCCCAGGCCACCACCACCCAGCAACTCCCAGGGCACAGAACCACCCCTGGGAATTCCGGGGCTCCTCAGTCACCCCCCAAAACCACCGCGGACACATCAAGGGAAGACGCCCTACGCGGTCACGGTCGGCGGAGCCGAGGATGGGGTGATCCACCTGCACCTCCCAAGGGTGCCAGACCTCACTGATCCCTTGGCTTCCATCCGTGGACCAGCGGGAAAACACACTGCACATCCCAGGAACGGCAACTCCTTCCAAAGCTTCCATGGAGAGAACAAGCCCAACATCCCTGTGCATTATCCCAGCATCTCCCAGCATCACCCAGAGCGGAGCCGTTCAACACCGAGCAACCAGGTGGGAAGAGGCACTTCCTCTCCCCAAAGAACCCGTGTTCACGTTACTCCAGTGCCTCCAGTGTCACTCCATCCCTCGGGCATCACTCCAGTCCCTCAGGGCATCACTGAAGTGGCCACAGGGTCCGTGTCCCTCTGGACGCGCCACAACCGTCCCCTCCTCAGGGAGGCCACCACGGGCCTACACAAACCCCCTGCGTTCTGGGGGATTCCCGACCTCCCCAGGCCAAACCCTGCCCGAGGCCTCCCTCAGCATGGGGGTCCCGGCCCCTCACAGCCCCCCAGGGCTCCCCCTGGGCCGCCCTGCCCCACCTGGGTCCAGGCAGAGCCCCGGAGAGCGGGCGAGGAGTCGGGATTGTCTGCACGGGAGAAGATATTTTTAAAAAAACTGAAGACTAAGCAGGAATTATTTTCGTTGCCCTGTGACTGCGCCGCAGAAAGGCAAAGGGAAGAAAAGAGAGGCAGATTCAGAGACGCTGCTTTGCATTTCATCAGCTCCCAGCGACTGTGCTTCCTAGAGGAGGGCGATGCTGCTATTAAGCAAAACCACTTTGGAGTTGAATGGGGCTGATTTGCGAGCGGCAAAGTTGATGTCAACTCCTATCTGCCTTAAGTTCTTAATTAGAACTCCTTCTAAAACCAGTAAGCAGCAGCAGCACAAATAATCAGGTCTAATCTCAATAATAACTTTATTCCTTTAAGTTTTACCATCATGTGCGCAGCCTTTAGGCTCTTTAACGATAATCTTATCAAGGTACCACACCACATTCTGCTGGGGCCTTCTCTATTTTTTTCCTTCAGGCAAGTTACATATTAGAGGAGACTGGAAGGGAGGAAAAAAAAAAAAAAACAAAAAACCAACCAACCCCAAACATTGCTTCATTTCCCAGATGCAAAGACAAATCCGTGACATTGAGCAACACACCGTAAGCTATCGGAGCCCTGGAGATAATTCCCTCCTCAGTCTCACGCTACAGCGCGGAGGAGATCAGGGTATGACCTTAGAAACAGTCCTGTTGTACCAACAACACAACCAGAGGCAATCGCAGCACACATCAGTGTTTTCCCAGTTTTGGGAACGCGCTATTCCAGGTACTGCCACCCCAGCACGGAAGGCAAGGCTGTTCTCACCCCTCAGCATAAACACTCCGCTTAAAACCCGAATTTCTCAGCAGCACAGACAAAACACCAACCTGCCAACAACCTGCAGTTCCCAATTCAACTGCCAGGCCACGGGATTCCCACCTGGAGTCACATCCCTGCCTTCAGCACTTATTCCCTATTTAGTGCAATCAGGGCCTCTGTAACAAACGTGGACAGAGCCTTCCTAAACTGTAACAAACGTGGATAGAGCCTTCCTAAATCTTCGTTCCCGAAGCCTAGCCATGAGCAATCAGGGCCCATTTTACCTCAGGTTGAGGAAAAGGGCAACAGAAGATCAATCAATCCCAACTTCCCCCCCCCCCTGGAAATTACTCACCTGTTTGTGCATTTCAATGTTCAAACCGTAGGACATTTCGTAGTACTGGGGAATAAAAACATACAAATAAATTCAATCAAAGAAGAGAGCCAAGAAGAATTTGAATTAACTTCACAGAAGGTATTTGCATAAGGCCATTACCAAAAAGCATCCTGGTCAAAACTGGGCTTAAAGCACTGGTAGCCAAGGAAATTACACCTTATAATAAGCAGATGTTTATGGGTTTAACTGGCAGGCACTTAACAAGGGGACACTCCTTTTGACTCCTGTTTTCTCCTCCTAAGCTACTTAGAAAAACAAAGAGGCGCAGAGCTGGGTGACAGGCGTCTGCTCAGCCCTGGCAGAACAGGTACAGCCCGGAGTCTGGCCAAAATTCCAGCTTCTCACTGGGGGGGTGGATTTATTCCCCCCCCCCAGGGGCCAATGGAGCTGCTGGGAGCCCCGGGAGCCGCTGGGAAAGGGGGTGCTGGATCCTGCTGAACCCAGGAGAAACCCAACCGAGCCCACCTGGGGGCCCCGCGACGCAAAATTTGGCTAAAAAAAAGAGGGTTTTGAGGCAACAAAAGAGCCCATTTCCCTCGGGAAGGATGAGCGGGGTGAGCTGGGATGGCTCCCGGGTGGCCTCACCCCGCGCCTCGGAGCAGCAAGGGGGGGACCCCCATCACGCCGAGGGACCCCCCCGGAGCCCGGGGGCGCTGCTCCAACCTCCCCCCAGCCCCCCCGGAGCGCTACAAAGGGGTTAACAGGAAACTTGGGATTGCGCTTCCAGCCGTCCGGGGCTCCGTGCGCCTGGCACCGGGCACCCCCCCAACGCCCCCGGGGGTCCCCGGGCAGGCAGTGCCCGTCCCGGGGGGGGTCCCCCGGTCCCCCCCGTCCGCAGGCTCCCAGCTAATGACATTTACAGGCTGATCCGAAATCTGATTAAAGTCTCTCACCATAACGTAATGGCGCTGCATTTCGGTCTTCTCGTTCGCCAGCTTGTCATACTCCACTTTGAGGCTGGAGGGGGGGGAGAGCGGAGGGTGAGACCCCGCGGG